CATAATTACTTTTTCTGGCAAAAAATGTTTTTTATTGAAGAACTTGGAAAAAAAAATATTTCTCACAATTCTGATTAATTTGACTGATTGGTTCATTTGGACAATCAGTTCTGCTCGATTTTGTTTTATGATTTAATATGGATCATATTTATAAAATTCATTAAACTTGAACAGTTAATAGATAATTAAATGAAAATACAACAATTTATTTACGAGAAAACAAGCAATTTTATTTTCCGGTGCTTGATTCTGATTGGCTGAGCCGCGTTCGAAGCTGTTGTAAATGACGCTACAAAGTAACACACACCTTTGTTTACGTTTGTGTGTTGCTCGGCAACCACTTTGTAGCAACCACAACTGTTTCTGAGGAGCTACATTGTTTGGTGGAAGAACACTGTTTACGGTTCATGTGAGTCATGACTCTCTGTGCTCCGCAGACTCGTGTCTGGAGAACGACAGTCTGTCTCTGGAGGATCAGGCGGAGACGGCGAGTCTGCGCAGCCGAGGCAGTGTCCAGTCTCTGGGCAGCGGAGAGTCTGCGCAGCCGCGGGGCCCGATGCCCAAACGCCAGGCTTTCGGCCCCGGGCAGGTGTTCAGCGGCACACAGGGCCAGCAGGTGTTAGTGCTGCCCGCCGCTGACCTTCACCTGATGGAGGTCAACGTCACATGACCCGCCGGGGGTCACACACGGACACAAGACTCGCCTCCGTCATGCACTTCATGAGACACCAGCTGTCTCTCAGATATCCCATAATGCCTTGCAGCCCCTCCTCTGTGTGCTCAGGCGTGTGTGTGTGTGTGTGTGTGTGTGTGAGAGAGAGAGAGAGAGAGCGACACCTGCTGTACATAATAGATGAGATTAAAGAGAATCTTCTGAACCAAATACACTCAGTCATGATCACTCACACTGGGGTTCTGGGATTTGCATATTTAATTTTGTATTGGTTTTTGGAACTAAAGGTTTCCAGGGAAACGCCTGCGCGTTATTGACTCAAGACACGCCCCTTCCTGCCGATGTCACATGATTGACGCGTCGCAACGACGACCATCGTGACAAATCTTGTTTTTGTTTAATGCATATGAAGAACAGTCATATTTCGCTCCATTTTAGACATGAAAAGTCAGTTAATTTAAGCTCACATCAGTGTGTATTTGTTATAATGTTCAAAACTGAACATATGATTTTCATAATTATGTTCAGGCAAAAAAAAAAAGTATGTATCCGAAAAATATATATATACATTTTTTTTTTTGCATACCTTTTTGCATAATTTATTTGCATAAAGTTTATTTGACATATTTGTTCTATAAAAGTAATGCAAAAAAAGTGTGTACATGTGTATATATATATTTGCATGCATTTTATATTACATGTATATGTAATATATGTGAATATATATATATATATTTTTTTTTTTATGCAAATAAAAACTTGGGAATTATTTTTTGGATACATTTAAAATTATATACATATATACAAATAAATTGGCTTTTTTGCATAAATTAAAAATGAATAAAATGGACTTGATTTTCTGTTGGTTTTGGGGTGAAATATGACCTGGGTGTGTTTGGATGTGTGTAAATCTCTCAGAAAGTGTCTGTCAGGACGGAACCGTTTCAGATCCATCAGCTCTGTACAGTAACGAGAGCCTGACGACAGACAGCAGGAAGTGATGCGGTTCTCCAGGAGGAAGAGGCTTGATGTGAATGTCGTGTGTCGTCTGTGTTTCAAACCTGAGAAACAGAAGCTGATGTGGGAACAGCAGTCGTCATATTGTCATGAAACTTCACACGCATCACCTCTTCAGTTCATCTGCGCACTATTTATTTCCTGGATTATCATTGCTTTGCTCTGGCTGGGTTCAGGACCTCGTGATTCCGGACTTCAGACGTCATGAACACAAGCTGTTTGTAAACCGTCAATCAAACATCACAGATTGTATTTAGATTATTTAAATGAGAAGAATATGTACACATTATACAACTGAAAATATACATACGTTTTAAAAGGATGTTTGTTGTCTTGTTTTTCTATTTTAAAAAAGTCTATTAAAAAGACTATTTCTACATGAAAATTTGTTCAGCAGGTCTTCAACATACAGGCTTCTGTCTAGCAGCCCATTTTCAACATTTTTTAAATAATACCAAAAAAAAACTAAGATTATTTAAATAATCAGTGTTCACAAACCTGCTTATTTAAAATGACAAATGTCTTTTGTTTTTTCTGGAAAAGAAAAACTCAAATTCCCTTACTGTTTTATCAGAGATGCCAAAGTGACAATTACTTCTCACAAAAAAAAAACTTCTCACAATTCTGACTTTTATTTTGAAATTCTTAGTTCACATCTTGCAAATGTTTTTTCAGCTATTAAAAAAATAAAAAGGTCTTTTTTTTTTTTATCCCAGTTTGAACTTTTTTTTCCCTGTGTGTGTGTGTGTGCGCATGCGAGTGTGTGAGAGTGTGTGAGAGAGTGTGTGTGAGAGAGAGAGAGTGTGTGTG